ATCCGTCCGTTCGCGTGTCCAACAGGCGCAAGAGAAAAGGAGGGAGGCAAAGGGGAAGGAGAGGGGAGGAGGAGGAGGAGGCCCCGCGAAGAAACGACGCCGCTGTCCCTCCAGAGCCCCCTCACACCTCCCTATCCTCCAGATGAAGGCGAGGCGAGCGCTGAGGAGCCCCCCGATCCAAACTCCTTCCAGACAAAAGCAATTATTTCTTGTAGAAGACGACGTGTTTGGTGTGTTGGTCGCACAGGAGGGAGGACGAGAGGGAGGACGAGAGGGAGGACGAGAGGGAGGACTTGAAGGAGAGGTGAAAAATATGTCGGTGCACGGCAGCAGGGCCTCATCAATAGCAATATGTTCTAGCCCCCCCCCCGACCCCCCCTCCCTCTTTCTGTAATACCTTTTCTTTTTTAAGCACTGAGCAACCTGCTGCTGCTTTGTCTGACACTGGACACACACACACACACACACACACACACACACACACACACCAAGTGGGTTTCTACCAGAAACGCTTCAGAAATCGAGAAAAAGTACCAGTTCCGGCTATACCAATAAATACCAGTTGGTACCTGGTCCACTAGTCCAGTAGGACCAGAACTCACACAGTCAGACTTTTACTGGTTCAGAATTCAAAATTACAAACGGCAGCGTTTGTTTGTTTGTTTTTTTTTCTTCACGGTACCAAGAACTTTGAACAGAACCAGGAACATTTAAAAAAAAAAATACTGCAGCTGACACCTGGAACTGAGGAACAGTACCAGGAGCTCCTGGAACTGAGGAACAGTACCAGGAGCTCCCGGGACTGGGGACCAGGACCCAGGGGCTCGCGAACAGTACAATGAGCTCCTGGTACTGAGGAACAGTACCAGGAGCTCCTGAATGCACGGTCCCTTTAGAACCAGTGGTCAGGATCCAGATCATCCAGATCATGTCAGACCAGACTGGAACAGTTCTACGACGACAAGAGTCAAAGAATAAAAATTAAAAAAAAATATGAAGACAACGTTGAGAATTTCTCCTCCTCCGTCACTGGTCGACTCCAGAAAACAAAAAAACAAAACAGATGAAGTTTCTACATTAAAAAAAAAACAACATCTGTTTTTATTATTATTATTATTATATTTTATTTCAGCTGCAGGTGACGATGGTAACATTTTTATCAAATCAAAACCCAGTGAAACTGTTGTGTTTTTATAATCCTGCTGTACTGCAGTATCTGGAAGTATCGATGTATAAATGTACTAGTACTTCGTGAAATCTACAGGACGATTACGGAGCGTATCTGTGTGTGTGTGTGTGTGTGTGTGTGTGTGTGTGTGTGTGTGTGATAAAGAGAGAGAGTTCATGGTTAAATGGCAGTGTCATGTTGACAAACGAGTTGGTTGAATTAAATTCCCCCTCATCAATAACAAGAGGAGACCAATCAATACCAGCTTACAATTATATCAACACACACACACACACACACACACACACACACACACACACACACACTGAGAGCCAGAGATAAGGAAGTCAGATGAAAAATCAGTTCTAGCTTCAACAGACTCTTAATTAAACATAAACTGCAGTAACGTGGTGTGTTTTACTACAGTGTGTGTGTGTGTGTGTTTTCATGGATTAACACACACACACACACACACACACACATACAGTTTGAGGGAGATCTCCGACGGGGGACGTGGTCTTGGATCTAAACAAATGGAGATCTCCGACGGGGACGTGGTCTTGGATCTAAACAAATGAACCTGGTACTGATTCTGAACGCCTGGTTCCTGTGCCTTCATCTTTAAATGTTAACGAGACACAACAAGCTCCGCCCACCTGGAATGCGGTGAGAGAAGGAACCTAAGACGGCGCGTAATGTAACCATGGCGACGGCGGAGTAGTTATTTTCTGACAGGCACTTTTTTTTCTCTTTTTTTTTTTTTTTAGCGTATGATATTCCCACGAGTATGTTAAACTGTCAGGACAGTGGGAAACAAACGGTGGTTCAAGGGTATATGTTGAAGAAGAAGAACGAACCTGTGGTCAAACTGTGTTACTTCAACAGTACCAGGAACATTTGTTCCTTTGTTTTTCACTCGGTCCGTTTACGAAACAAAGGCGTAAATCCTGGTAAAGATAAAGAGCGTACGAACTGACATCAGTCTGAGCTTCCGACATGTTCACTCCGTTCTCTCTCCCTCTCTCTCACTGGTGTTTCCCAGTCTCCGTCTCTGTCTCTCGGCCTTGTCTCCGGCACCGTGCCTCAGTAACGATCGGTGACAGGTTGTCAATGGTGGGGTCGCGGCCCTGCCAATACCGCCCCTACATATCCATTATTCCTCTCCAGGCCACGGAGGACGGACAGAGAGGGGAGTAAAACACCACCGCTGCCGCCGCCGTCGTCATACCATCACGGCGGCAGATCAATGCTGTCGTTCACCAGAAACCGCGGCCGGCGCGAAGAATCAGACTGAGAGTTTTTATCCTTCTCCACGTTTCTGAATTTGATCTTTCGTTTCACGGATGATTCTGTCAGGACTTGGAACCATTTCAGTGAGCGTGTCAGAACAGGAACTAGTACCAGGAACTCAGGAGTGTGCTTCAAACACAGGAACTAAGATAAAAAAAAAATAAAGTACCAGGACTGTTTGACCGTCCCAAAAACAAAGTTCCAGGAACTATATCTGTTCCCACAACCATAGAATCAGGAACTGTTTTTGTTCTCACCACAAGGAACTCCTTTTTTAGGAACCACAGGTTGGAACTAGTACTAGAAGCTGCACAGCTGGTAGTCAAGTACCAGAACTGGTCGTCAAACAGTTCCAAAGAACGACAGGAAATACAACAACGATGACAACGATGACTACGATGACAACGATCACCACGATGACTACGATCGCTACGATCACTACGATGACTACGATGACAACGATCACCACGATGACTACGATGACTACGGTCACCACGATGACTACGATCAATACGATCACTACGATGACCACGATCACCACGATCACCACGATGACTACGATGACAACGATCACCACGATGACTACGATGACTACGGTCACCACGATGACTACGATCCCTACGATGACTACGATGACAACGATCACCACGATGACTACGATCCCCACGATCACTACGATGACCACGATCACCACGATGACTACGATCGCTACGATCACTACGATGACTACGATCGCTACGATCACTACGATGACTACGATCCCTACGATGACTACGATGACAACGATCACCACGATGACTACGATCGCTACGATCACTACGATGACTACGGTCACCACGATGACTACGATCAATACGATCACTACGATGACCACGATCACCACGATGACTACGATCAATACGATCACTACGATCACTACGATCACACAAACACATCGACCACCTGCACAAACGCACACACACACAGAGGGAGGGCACGAAAATAGCTTAGCTTAGCACAAATGTAGCATTAGCGCTTGAGGTAACGCCAATGACACGGAGGGAGTCACTGTGTGTGTGTGTGTGTGTGTGTGTGTGTGTTAGATGAGAGCCTTAAAAATGAGCGGATCAGACCTCAGCTCTGAGACACCGTGGAATAGGATCAAGAGAAAAGTGTGTGTGTGTGTGTGTGTGTGTCAAAGGAGATTTCATCATCATCTCTTCTTCCTCTTATATTATCGTACTGAAGAAAAAAAATTAAGGTGAAATTCAACAAGAAAAACACAATGTAAGAGAGAGGAAAAAAACACACGAGAGAGAACCGAGAAATATAATAGAGATATATAAATAAATAAATATAAATATATCTATATATAAATATATATTTATATATAGATAAATATATTTTAATATATATAAATATATATATATAAATATATAAATTATATATTTATATATTTATATATATAAATTGTCAACTTAAATGGAGCCAGAAAAGCTAAATGTTAGCCAAATGCTACGTTAGCATTAAGGCTGAAGAAACAGAAACAGGGACAGAGACACGTGTCCACGGGCCTTGTTTGGCCCCAGAACCAGACATTGGAAACCCCCCCCCCCGACCTCAAGCTCACACCAATAATAACTATAATAATAACTAAGACTAGTGTTTTCTACAGTTAAACTCAGTTGATTAAACTCTTCCTCCTCCTCTTCCTCTTCCTCTTTATTTAACATCAAACCCCAAACCCTCTGACCGTTGTAAAACCCACTGTTGCTCAGGCTGCATTCTTGGAGAGAGAAAGAAAGTGAGACGGACACTGTGTGTGTGTGTGTGTGTGTGTGGGCAGATTTAGAAGCAGGGATCAATGAGAAATGTAGAAATCAATGCACTTAGCAGTGGGAAATCAATGAGGCCTAATCGGGATGCCAATGGCACAAGTCAAAACAATTAAGAGAGAAGAAAAATGTTTAACAGC